TCCTAACGTCTAGGTGTCCCTTTGTGTTTCTGTACTGTCTTTTTATCACTGTTTATGTTTCACTTGTTTCCCGTGTCTTTTTCCATCTCTTTGACTCTGTGTATGTGTGTTTCTGTGTCTCTTGTTTCCATCCGTGTCTCTCTCGGTGTGTGTGCCCCTGCCCGTTTTCTGATCCTCCCTTCACGCATCCGTCCCCCTGTCCGCGCTTCCTCTTTACTGCGCCCGCCCGCCAGGGGGCAGCACAGACCAGCCCCTGCTCTCCGCTTTCTCTGCTGGCCTGGGCTAGGGTCCGGCCTCCAGACACCACCTGCTCCTCCCCGTGTCCTTGTCCCACTTCTCTATCTTCCCAGCCTTCTCGGGTCTTTGTGTCTCTCGCTGTGACTCGGCCCCTTTGTCTCTCCCTGGCGGCTCCCCCTTCTTCCCACCCCCACCTACCTCTTCACATTCCTTGGGCTGCCCGGGGGAGCTGATGAGGCCGCCCAGCGTGCCAAAGTGAGGGCGGGAAGCAGGAGGCTGGGGGAGAGGATGCCACTGAGTGCTTGTAATCCCTGCTTTCCAGCCCCTCTCGGCACGGAGGCGCCGCGCTGATTGGCTGGGAGTTTCCTGGCTATGTGTATGTTTAGGCTTGCCCGCCCTCCCTCACCCGCCCCTACACCTGAACTTTCTTCCCAGTAGGGCAAGGTCTCAAGTAGTAGACACTTACTGACTGGCATTCACGTCTTGGTAACAATACTATTAATAAATGTATTTAGCACTTACTCTGTGCCAGCCACTGATTTAAGTGTACTCCAATTCAAGTGTGCACACAGCTCCCTTTGTGATAAGAAAGTTGAGGCCCAGAGAGATGAAGTGACTTGGCCCAAAATCACAGAGTTGCAAACGGACGGATCCAGAACTGACCGATGTCTCTTAGTTAATTTTTTTTTTTCAAGAACCCCGTGAAGGGGACATTCTCACAACCTCATTTCACTGAAAAGTACGCTAAGGAAGTGCCAGATGAGACTTCCCTAAAATGTGTATCTCAGACTAGTTGCCACCTGGTGTGAGATCAGCCAGACAAGTAGGCACTTAATAAATGTGCTCTAGATCTTTTCGTCCTCTTCCCAATCGGGGATCAAACTAGAGGGCCAGGATCTCGGGGTTTTAGTGCCAGCTTTGCTACTCACTGGCTTTGCAAAATTCTGGCCACTCACTTTTCTTCCTTGAGCAAAATAACCAGCCTCCAGGAGGTTTCCTCCACAAGGCCCCCTCGGACCCTCTCTTCCCCAGGCTCAGCTCCGCTGGCTGTTCTTGGTGGGCACAGGTAAGCCCAGGAGGCAAGCCCCAAGAGGCTAGGCTGCAGTTTCACCCCTGTGCCCTGTGACACACATAAGGCTGAGCACCACTCTGCTTGTTGATAAGTGACTGGGTGGGTTCCGTGCCTGGGGAGCCGACTTCCAGTATCCCCAAGCCTCAGAGAGGCTACTTCACTGAAGAGGCATAACCAGGAGGAGGTAGGGGCACCGGGCCAAAGGCATCCCGACAGGGCTGTGGAGTTGGGGCCAAGTTGTAGATGTATAAAGGTTGTCTACTGCATGGGAGGTCAGCACCCATAACCCCCACACTAAGGGTGGACTGTATTTTACCTGCCCAGCAATCTCTTTCTCAGTTTCATCTCCCCCCACTGCCCTGCCTCGAGTGTTGATTTTTTTTTTTTTATGGGGAATCCCCTATACTCAGCTCTTATGGTTCAGAGTGAGCCTGACCCAGCCCTGGCCAATCAGAGCATGTGATCCCCTGGCCACAAGGATTGGTTCAGGGATGAGCAGGTGGGTCCTATTCCTGTCCAATGAGAATTAATCCTGAGACTTTAGCCAGAACTAGTAGGAAAGGAGCACCTTCTTTTAGTGGGGGGTTGCTAAGTTAGCAGGGTAGAAATCTAGTATAGGGAGGGCACTGAAGACAAAAGACTGTCTGCACCAGGGGAACAGCAGAGCTCAGAAATGGAAAAGGACAACTTTGTTTCTTTTAATTTTTTTATAGTATAAAATTTTTATATTTAGGATTAGCCAGCTGGACTCGGTTTAGATGATCCTGGTTCTGCTGGCAGCACCCACAGCATCCTCGTCGGGAGCCAGTCGAACAGGCACCTTCTTCTCCCCCACAGGCCTGATCAGGGCATTGACCTTGGCCATGTCAATGTCACAGAACTTCGCAGCCTGTTTGATCTGGTGCTTGTTGGCCTTGCCGTATTGTTGTCTTCTGTCTTTGTCATGGCTGACTTGGGAGTCCGGGGAACATGATGGTGGCATCATGGTCAAGGTTGTTCCTCCTGGGGGGCCTCCTCTGAGGATATTTAGGCTGCCTTTGGGTCTGCAGTGTCTCAGGCCTCGAGAAGCTGGGTGACGTGTGGAACTTTTTTGTGTGTGTGTATGGCTGTGGATACCTTTTAGCACTGCTATCTTTACTTCAAAGCTTTTCTTTTGGCTTCAGCTTTGGGAGGGGCAGCAGCTTCCTTCTTTGCTTTGGATGCCATCTTTGTGAAAAGGCAAGGACAGCTGTCTGATGAAGACTATTTGAGCCCCTGGATCCAGCTATGCCTGAAGGTCATCAGCCTTTGATATTCTTGGTTATATGAGGGCATAACTTTCCCTTTTCACTTATTTTCACAAAATTTTCTGTTTTTTTCCATTTGCAATCAACCATATCCTTACTAATAAAATCTATACAAGTTCAGAAGAGGCACAGAGTCTCGTAAAGTTCCAAGGGCAAGGAAAGGGGAATGAACTCTTTTCAGAATCCTTCAAGACATGCAGCTGTGAAGGACAGCTTTGTTACAGGGGGTGGGAAATGGGGAAGGACACCCATTCCAGGGGAGGGGAATATTAAAGTCACAAAGGCGCAGGATGGGGACACATGCGAGAGGGGGACAGTGAGTGGTGTGAGGAGCAACATCTCAGAAGGCCCTGCATGTCCGGTGAAGGGTGACTCATACTCCTAAGAGCAATAGGAATCCACAGAAGGGGATGAACGAGTAGAGGAGTCTACTCTAAATTTGCCTTTACTTCCTGGAGCCCCAGATCCTGCAGTTTTACCCCTTCTCCTCTCCCATCCCCCCAGACCCTCAGTCCAGGTAGGAGGAGTCGGTGGAATGAGGAGGGCTCGGGAAGCCATTTATATGCAAATTTCCTAGCATCCTATGCAAATGTGTGCCCTCTGGGAGGCGGGCCAGGACCCTCCTCTCATTAACTTGGGGACCAGCTGCTGGGCGGAGAACCCCTTCCTCCCCAGAGTCCCCCATCTCCCCTTCCTCCAGACATCTGTTCGCTACCCCTCCGGCTCCCCGAATCCCCTCTCACCAATGTCTGCTCTCAGAGTGGGGTCTGTCTCCACCTTCCCTGGATCAAGGTGTTCTCTCTGTGCCCCCATTTCCTTTGGATGATGACACTACCAATAATAAACGTGTACTGAACACATACTCTGTGCCGGGCGTGGCACTCAACACTTTCCACTGTTGTCTCATCAAATTCTCCCAGTCGCACTGGGACCCACTGTGTGTCGGTTGCACTGTTTGAAAAAGAATATTCAGTCTTGCCACGGAGAAAACAATACAGCCACCCGCATAAGTGAACAGATGAAAGGAACGAATGTGAAGAAGCAACTCATTAGGCCGGTTAGACCTATTAAGGATGTGAGCTAAACATAGACAGGAAGGATGAAAGGACCCAGTCAGCCCGTTCTGTGCATCCTTAGGGTGCTTCCCTGCTGGTGACTCCGGCTTTGTTTCATGAGTCCTGTGCCCCAGGCACGCAGGTCAAAGCCAGGTGCATTTGTCCCCTGCGTGACCCTGGCACTTTCCAGGTGCAGAACCCTCTGGCTCACGGTGTGAGAGAGACTGGACACAGAACCACACCCCCCCCCAGAACTCAGCCTTCGATCCTTTGTGCCCGAGCTAAGTGTGTTAACCTGGCCCATCGCTTTTTGCTTCTCGCGTTTGTGTGAACCGGATTCAACAAACCATGGGGTTTGAGCACCTGAGTCAGGCCGGTGAGCTCTTCGGCTCCGGGACTTCCCGTCGGGCTGCTCAATGGCCTACGAAGAGGTCCCCGTAGCCTCTGGTCAGTTTCCCAAGGCCACAAGATCCCAACAAGAGCCCGTGTTGTGGCCGATCAAACTGAGGACAGCGAGGCGCATGGAGTCACCGGCGGAGGTGAGAGGCCTCTGAGCGCTGAGGCCTCCCCGTGCGTCCCCTGCGCAGGGACGGCCACGCCCACTCCTCAGGGCGGCCCTCCCGGGACCCAAGTGTGATTTACCTCCATTCGATGGGCTCAGGGTCACACACGCCCACCTCCACCTCAGCTTCTGGGCAGCTCTCCGCGTTTTTGACGGCAATTATCTAATGATCTCTCTGCCCCCACGCTCTCCCTGCTTCTCTTTGTCTCTTCCTGTCCCGAAATCTTTCCATCTCTGTCTGTGTGACTCTGGAGCTCTCACCTCTGAGCTGCCCCTGCCCAGCGCACCCCGCCCATGCCCGCTCCACCCCCAGGTCTTCCTATCTCTCTTCCCTCTGCCCCAGGCCCCTCCATCTGGGTCCCTCCAAGCCACCCCTCCTCCCTCGGCTGCGGGAATGATGCCATGCCCAGAGAAGGCAGCTCCGTCCCTAATTCCATCCATTCTACAGCTCAGAGAATTTTTCCTCTCGCAGCTTCAATTCCCTCTGGGGCTCTGGCAAGAGACTTTGGGAACTTTTATTTAAGGGGACAGCAGCCCAGCCGCCAGGCAGACGCTGGTCTTTCAGGGGCCATTCTCAGTGCCCTGTGGACTCTGAGCATCTCCCTCTCTCATCCTTGGCGGCTGAGTCACTCTCTGCTCTCTCTCTCTCTCTCTCTCTCTCTCATGTCTTCTCCCCTGATGGCAGACATCTCCCAGCTCTCGCAAGGGCACCGTGGGAGCACAAGGGAGCAGGGCATCACCTGCGCCCCTTCCCCTCTCATCCCCAAGAGGCGGCTCCGGCCACAGGATGGTGTCGACGTGACAGACAGCATTTATTCCAGACTCCAGTGTCCGTGATGAGGGGGCAGAGCGGGGGCGGGAATCCAGTGTCAGACTCTGCAGCAGGACGTCAGGTGGGGGGACCAGCGATGGAGGCGGGAGGTAAAAATAGCCTCGGCCAGCCGACCCTCGCAGCCTTGTCCCAGGCCGGGCCCTGGGCTTGGGTCCAGGAGCTATTCTGGGGCCTGGGAGAGTCATTCTCCCAGGAGGAAGGTCCCCTCCCGCCCAGCAGCGCACCCTCCCTCCTTCCCCGCAGTGTCTGTAGGTCCCTGCCCAGCTTGCAGAGGAAGGAAGGGTGGGCGGGAGAGGGAAGGCCGGGAAGGCGGGGGTGGGCAGGGCGTGAGCGGGGCTGGTTCTCCGATGCCTGCAACTCCAGGTTGGGTCCAATGACTCCCTCTTGGAGGTCCTCAGGTTTAGCACTGGGGAGAAGTTGCAAAGGTCAGCCTGAGCCCCTGGAGGCCGCGCCGCCCCCCCCCCCGCAGGGCCCCTCTCACCGGGGTGCCCAGACTTTCACCCACCTCGTCTCCGAAGCCCCCACTGCCATGCCTGGCTTTTCCAGAGGCACCTCCCATGAGCAGGCCCGTCTGCTCTGGCTGCTGGGACCCTGAGTGGCTCAGCTCTGGGTCCCCAGGGGGCCTGGGGAGGAGACGCAACATGTTGGAAGTGGTCCCCGCTGGGAAGGAACCAGGGATGGGGTCGTGCTGGGTAGAGACGGACTCGGGGGCGTGGGCAGGAACGGGTTGGCGATGGCAGAGGGGCTGGGGATGACACTGGGGTCAGGGATGCACTGGGGCTGGGGTCAAAGGTCCTGCTAGAGCCGGAGACACTGTCCCAGCTGGGGTCAGCTCCGGGGCCAGGTGGAGTGGCTGTGGCCTGGCCGTGGGAGGCTGGCCATTGGGTTGGGGTTAGAGATGGGGCTAGACGGGATGGGTTCAGGGTTAGGACCGGGAAGGGGTGGGTTAGGAACTGGAGGGGCCTTGGGGATGGGGAAGCTGGGTCTGGTGCTGATGATGGGTTGGAGCTGGGATGCAGCTGGGGGAGAGGTCGGGAGTGCAGAAGAAGTTGGGATTCAGAGGCGAGGGAGTCAGGGGTCTGTGTGGGTTGAGGTTGGGGACCAGGATGGGGACGTGGTCGGGTGGACAGCAGCTCAGATGGGCCTGGAGATGGGGTTGGTGGTCGGATGAGGATGAGATGGGGGCTGGAGAGGAGAGTGGGGGGTGTGTACAGATAGGCTGGGTCTGGCCATGGTTACCTGAGAACTGGGATGGAGGTGGGCGTGAGATGGGGTTGGGGAGATTAGGGACCGGGTTAACTCGGGATCGGGGCATCTGGGGACGGGTGTGGGCTGGACGGGCTGTAGCACGTAGATGGGGAGGACGCAGCCGGGACAGGGCGTGGCCACGGACTAGGTCTGAGGTTGGAGATGGGACCGCACTGCGGCCGGTGTGGGGCTGCAAATGGGAGGCTGTTGAGGTCGGTCACGGGCCGGGTTTGGGGCTGAGGTCAGCGTGAGATCCAGGGATGGGGACGGGTGACAGAGGTCAATCCCGAGCCTGCAGGCCACTCACGGAGCCCGCTTCTCCTCCCGTCGGCAGCAGGCGGAGCGGCCCTTGCGCCTCATGCAGTAGAAGGCGGCGACCACGAGGAGCAGGAGGCCCACGCTGACGGCCACAGCCATGACGGCCACTCCAGCCTGGGAGGTCTGGGGGGCCACTGCGGGGACAAGAGATGAGGAGGCGCTCGGCCAGCAGCTCCTGGCTGCCCCTCGGCTCCGGCACCGCCCACTGCCACCGGGTTACTCACAAGGGCCGAAGTGGAAGACATGCCGTGTGTTCCCGTGTGGGTTGGAGGCCTCACAGGAGACGCCATTCTGGCTCATGGCGTTGGTCAGCTTCACGGTCAGGGAGCTGCTCACCCAGCCCTGCCTTTTGGGGGCCGGCTCTGTGGGCTGCGGAGGCTTGGGTCAGGCTTGGGTCGGGCCCGGGGTGATGGCCGGGTCCCTCAGGAAGTAGGAGAGAGGACACAAGGCTTGGAGCCCCGAAGAAGCAGGGTCCCCGGGGGACCTGGAGGGCTCAGGGAGGCAGGGAGGGGCCCTTACGCTGCCGCCCAGTTCGCTCCAGGTGAGTTTGGGCTCCGGGTAGCTGCGGGCGAGGCAGACCAGCTTCACTTCGTCTCCTTCGTGCCAGCTGCCCTCCGCCTGGGGCTGAATCCCCTCCTCCTTGATCTCCGGTGGCCCTGTGGGTGGCGGTGAGGGAGGGGGTGAGGGGGAGACACAGCGGGGAGAGCAGAGAGCAAGAAAGAGAAAAGGGAGAGAGGAACGGAGCAGGAGGCTGAGGGGCCAGCCAGGGCCGCGTCCCGTGGTCCTGACCCCCTGCTGCACCCCCCGCTGCCCCCATCCCAGCCTGTCCCTGCCCCCGAACCTTCTAACCTTCCACCAGCAGCGTGAGGATCCGGGAGCGACTGAGGAGGGGGACGGTGGGCGTGTGGGCCTCGCAGACGTAGGTGCCGGCAGAGTCGAAGGTGAGGGAACTGAGAGACAGCGTGGGACCGTCCCCCAGGGGCACCGAGTCCTGTGGGGTCGGGGGTGGGGGGGAGAGGCCAGGTGGGCCGTGAGAGAGGGGAGGGGTGAGGGGAGGGCGGGGGGCCCGGGGCTGGGGGCCCCTTTCCTTCTCACCTTGGTCCAGCGTAGAGCAGGGGCCGGCAGGCCTTGCACGGAGCAGCTGGTGGACACGGTGCTGCCCAGGGTGGAGGAAAGCTCCTCCTGGTCGCTGAACTCGATGGGGTCCAGGTCTGCGGGGGAGACAGACTGCCACTTGCCCGGACCCTCACCCAGTTGCTGAGGGGCGCTCAGGGCCACCGAGGGCGCGGAGGCGGACACACAGTAGTCAGCGGAGGGTGCCCGGCGCGCCTCCTCGTCCGCCTGGTCTCCGGGACCCTCCGCCCTGCCTTCCGGGCCCAATGTCCAGCCCAGGTCTCAGAGTCTGTGCCTACCTGGACCACTGTCCTCCAGAGCTGACGTTTGGGCCCAAGGTTGATGGACAGCCTTGGAGGAGCGAGGTGCCCCTTCTCTGACCGACCGCCCTAGCCCTTTGCGTAAACTTAACAACTTGCCTTACCCCTTGCCGACTGCCCTTTCATTCATCAAGTCTTTTTCTCTGCTCTGCCCTCAGAAGGGGTCTTTCTACTTCTGTCCACCTCGGAACACCCAGTCCAATGGCCTTGGCCACAGCTGTCACCTTCCTCACTGGCCTTCCTGCGGGGCAGGACTGTGGTCCTCTCCCGTCCACTCTACAGTGAGCAGCTAGAGGGATCCTTTCAAAACACACTGGTCAGCTGACCGGTGTGGCTCAGAGGATTGACCGCTGGCCTGTGAACCGGAAGGTCACCAGTTAGATTCCGGTCGGGACACACATCTGGGTCATGGGCCAGGTGCCCGGTTGGGGGTGTGTGAGAGGCAACCAGTCAACGTGTCTCTCACACATGGAGGTTTCTCGCCCTCTCTTTCTCCCTCCCTTCCTCTCTCTCTAAAAGCAAAGAAAGAAAATCTTTAAATTAAAAAAAAAGAAAAACCCTGGCTGGTGTAGCTCAGTGGATTGAGCATGGGCCTGTGAAGCAAGGGGTCGCTGGTTTGGTTCCCGGTCAGGGCACATGCCTGGGTTGCAGGCCAGGTCCCCAGTAGGGGGCGCACGAGAGGCAACGACACATTGATGTTTCTCTCCCACTCTTTCTCCTTCCCTTCCCCTCTCTCTAAAAATAAATAAAGAAAATATTTTAAAAAAAACCAACAAACCACACTGTCAGCCTTTCCTTCTGCTTAAAATCCTGCACTGGCTCCCCAGTACCCAGGGCACAGAGGCCAACGTCCTTGACAAAGCCTAAACATCCCACCCAGTCGGACCGACCCCTGCCCTCACTTCCCACCCTCCTCCCTTGCCCCCGAGCTCCAGCTGCCCCGTGCTCCTCTCGTTTTCCCCCAGGACACCACGTCGGGTCCTGCCTCGGGGCCTCTGCCCTCACTGTTCCCCCCACCCGAAGGGCTCTCCTCTGCACCCCCTTCACGGAGTCTTACTCAAATGCCCCCTCCTCAGAGAAGCTGCTCTACCCCCACCCCACGCCCCGTGGTGGACACTCAGATTTCCCCTTCAGCTGTTGAGAAGGACATCAGCTGTCAGCCCTCAGCTGTCAGCCCCTTCCAGCAGGCAACTGCCTCAGCGGTGAAGAGCCCCTCGCTGGAGGTCACGCCCCCTTCCTCAGGCGGCCCAAGAGCTAACGACGAGGGGTGGCCGTACTAAAGCCAGGCAGGCCCCTCCGCCCCAAGGGGAGCACCCCAGTTTCCAAGAGCCCCGTGGGGCCGGCCCACCGAGGCCTCCTTTAGACCACAGCCCAGCTTCTCCTCCTGCCCGATCCTGCTTCCTTCCCTTCCCCACCCCCCGGCAGACCGGGATGCCAAGGTTCCCCGTAAACTTCCTGCCTGCAGACGTCTGAGTCAGAATCTTTTTCCTGAGGACGCAGGCTGGAAACAACCCCCAACTTATTCCTTGTCCTATGATTCTTCATCAGTCCCTGCAGATGCAGGATGGGCGCCCCAAAGGGTCTCGTTCGGCCTTGGCCACCTGTCTGCCCTCCCGGGCCGGGAGCTCTGCGGAGGTGGGGACAGGGCTAGCTTGTGCACAGATGTGTCCCCAGCATCTGGCAGCGGGTCTAGCCCCAGAAAGTCGGACGTGAGAGAGTGCTGAGGAGACAGAGCTTTTGTAGGGGGACTGGGGTGGGAGGAGGGGCAAGTGGGCTGAGAAGGCTTCTCGGAAGACGGGAACGTGAGACGGTCAGAAATGGATGGTAGGACGGGAGGTATCTGGGGAAGGAGAGAAGCTTGGGAGTGACGAGGAAAGTGCCTTGATGGGGAGAAGGGTCAGCCACAGGTGAAGCCAGACAGGTGGGCCTTGAAGGCCGTGGGAAGGCATCGGGGCTTTCTCCAGAGGGCACTGGGGAGCCAAGGCAGGTTCTGGAGCAGGAGAATGTCAGGTTTGTGCTTTGGAAAGGGCTCTCCGGCTGCCCGGTGTGGGAGTCTGGAGGGGGCTAGGGCAGGGTCCCCAGGAGGTAGCAGGCATCTGGACCAAAGGGAGGCAGCAGGTGCCAGGGCCCCCCCCGCCCCCCCCCGGGGGGGCTCTCACAGGCCACGCGCAGCTCCAGGGTCTGGGAGAGCTCGGCATCGTCCTCGGCATCGAAGTCTTCTGCCCTGCAGCCGTAGGTCCCGGTCTGGTTCCGCTGCACCTTCTCCAGGGTCCAGTTCCCCGAAAAGTCTGTTTTCAGCGTTTTCTCCTCCTTGTCCTGGGTGACCAAGGATGAGGAGCCCGGCTCAGGGGCCACCCTGGTCCAGCGGGGTCATGAGAAGTCAGGGGACGCCCAGGTCAGAGCCATGCACCCCGACGGTCAGGGTCTCCTGGTCAGTGTCCTATTAGGTGGGAGCCACTCTAGGATGGGGGCAGAAGTCTTGCTGGGCCGGGGGTCTCCCAAGTCATGCCAAGTCTCAAACCAGGGGTCAGACGTCCTGTTAGCTCCTGGGCCACAACCGACCAGGCTCCTTGCTAAGCCAGGGCCACGAGGTAAAAGGTTAGAACTTGGTGCAGGTCAGTAGGTCACAGAAGTCGAGGCTGGGGATTGCCAAAGGAGCGAGGGAGTGAGTCACCTGCAGGCGGAAGAAGATGTACTCCGGGCTGGAATTGCCGTCCCCACGGCAAACCAGCTGCACAGAGTCCCCCTCTCGGACCCAGCCCTCCGTGGTGGCCGGGCTGTCCACCCAGAACTGCACATGCTCTGTGGGATCTAAGAGGAAAGGGCAAGGGGAAGAAGTCAGTGTGAGGTCTGGGGACCCAATCAGGAACAGGAGGGTGCAGGGCAAAGTTTAGTCGTGCCCCATGGGGCACAGAGCACTATGGGGGGGACGCCCAAAGTCAGGGGACGCTTATGCTACACCTTGTAGCCAGCACACATTTCAGCGTGGGGCAGGGGAACAGAGGGCCGCAGTGTGGGGCGAAGGCTGGCTTGGAGGGGTGGGTCTCCATGAGGTGTGGAGTCCAAGGTCGGGGAGGTGGGCCGGCGAGGACTCACAGTGCAGGGTGAGGCGGAAGGCCTGGCTGTCCAGGCGGCCGTGCTGGCCCCGCGGCAGGTTGAAGTGCGCCGAGCAGTGGAACTCGGCGTCCCGATCGGCCTTTTGGGGCCGCAGGTACAGGGTGCTGGTGAGCGACTGCAGACCCGAGGCCTCCCGGATGGTGCGGCTGGTTATGTAGCCATCTGGCAGGGAGTGGCGGGGCGGTCACTGGTCACCCACCACCACGCCACCCCACCCACACCGCCCCCTGCGCCGCTCACCTGCGTTCATCTCCATGGGCACCTGCAGGGGCTCCCCGTTCCGGTACCACGTGATCCGAGGGAGGGGGTTCCCGTTGCGGCTGTGGCAGGTGGCGATCTGAGGCAGGATGAGCGCGGCCCTCAGCTCTTGGCCAGGACTCTGAACACGGGGTCCCTTGCTCCCTCCGCAGCTCTCTCCACACAGGTCCAGGATCCCGGGGTCCCCAGCCCTCTCCTCCCCCAGGCTGTGGAAGTCTGGCACCCGTGCCCCCCTCCAACCTTATGACCCAAGACTCTGAGACCCCCAGCCCTCGCTTCCCCCAGGACCCTGGAATCAAGGTCAGTCCGAGGTACCTCCTGGGCAAAGTCATCTGTCACGGAGAGTGTCCCTTTGTTGGGGGAGACGTCGGTGGCCTCTGGTTTTGCTGTGGGAGAGACGCTACTGTCAGGAGCCCCTTCCCAGACTCACCCCTGCCCCCCACTCTCCCCCGGGGGTGCCCGCAGACACTCACCGAACACCTGGAGCCTCGAGGTGGCCTCCGCGGTGCCCGCCGCCCCTGCCGTCACCACGCACACGTAGTCCAGCTCGTCACTCACCTGGGCTTCGTCCAGCACCAGGCGCCCCGGGGGGTCCAGCCGGTATGGGGGACTGCGGCCCAGGGAGTCCTTCACACTGGCCTGGACCTCAGAGCCCTGCACTCGGGCCTCGGCCACGAGGCGGCGCCCCTTGGCGCGGTCCGTCTGCGGGCAGCGAGGCCCTGAGCTCAGGGCGGCCCGTCACCCCACTGGGTGGCTCCCTCTTTCCCCCTCCCTTTCTTTCTGCTGCTCTGTCTCTCTCCCCTCTGTCACCTCTCTCTCCGGTCCCGCCCCTGTGCCCTCCTTGTTGTTACAGGTCCCCCGTCTCTGTCTCCCTCTTTCTCCACGTTCCCATCTCCGTCCCTCTTTATTCCTCTTCCGCCCTGTCCCTCTGCCTCTTATTTTCTCCTCTTTCTCTCTCTTTATCGCCCACCCCCGATTCTTGCTTTCTCGGTGTCTGTTTCGGAAGTTTCTCTCTCAAGAGCCAGCCCTTTGAAGGGGGACCAGTCCCAGCTGCGCCGCCCCGGGCATCAGGAGAAGCCCCCTCTGCCGGGCCTCTATCGCCCCATGTGAAATGGAAAGGCAGCCAGGCGGAGCTCTCAGGGTCTTTTGGATGCGGATGAAGGAGTGAATGTCTGCAGCCCCACTGCGCCCTGACTTTCAGACCCCCCTCCCCTACCCCCGGTCCCCAGCCCGAAGCACTCACCAGGAACCATTTCAGCACATACTCTGTATGGACCCCCAACGGGGTACAGTTCAGGGTGACAGACGCCCCCCTCATCACCTCCACCAAGGAGGGCACAGACACCTGCATCTCAGCCTGGACACCTGCAGGAGAGCAACTGAGCTCTTACCCACTGTCGTCAGTGGGGAGAGCCCTTGGGAGAGCGCCCCCTTCCCCGAGGACAAGGCAGTGCAGGCCCCAGTGGGGAGAGCCCTTGGGAGAGCGCCCCCTTCCCCGAGGACAAGGCAGTGCAAGCCCCCAGTGGGGAGAGCCCTTGGGAGAGCGCCCCCTTCCCCGAGGACAAGGCAGTGCAGGCCCCCAGCCCTCCTCCCTCAGACTCAGCAGCTTCTGTCTCCCTCCATCCCTCATCTTTGTGTCTCTGAGCTCACACTCCATAGCATCTCTCCCCATCTCTCTCTTTACTTGCAGAGCGAAGGGCTCCTCCCCTGGGCCACACAGGGCCCCAGTGGCCCCATTCAATCCCCCTGGGGTAACAGTGCACCTGTCCCTGTCTTCCCCACTAGACCCAACGCCCTTCAAGGCCAAGGCCAGGGCTGGCCCATCCTTTCGCCCCCATCACCCTACGCAGGGCCCGACACTCATCGATGGTGGGTAGATGGCCCCATCTCGGCCCGGGGCTCCCACCGTCTCTGCCTGCCTCTCTCCCCGAGCCCGCCATTCCCTGTCTCCACCTCCCTCAGCACCCGCCTCTCCCTCACGAGTGGGAGGCTGAGGTGAGGTGTGGGCTTCGGCTGGGCCCGGAGCCGAGGCGGGATAGGTGTGTGGGGGTAGTGAGGGGGGACAGGGCTGGGCAGGTTTCAGGAATGTGGGAGGGGCAGGCTGGCTGAGACATGCCCTGCCTGGCGCCAGAGCCCCCTACCTGCCCCTTGCTCCCCCTGCCTCTCTCATAGAGCAGGGAAGCGGGTGAGGTGGGGAAGGGAGGTGAGGCGTGTCACCTCAGAACATGACTGGCCTAGGCCAGGGATCCGGGGTCTGAGGGAGGAAGGGCTGGGAGCCTAGACTCCGGGTCCCAGGGGAGCAGGGTGCTGGGCCTGGATTCCTGTCCCCAATCCTGGCACACAGAGCCGTCCCCATTGGGAAACCGTGCTCTCTCACCCTCTGGGCTGGCATCCTGGCATCAGTTCTCATTTCTTAGAACCTCCCTTCCCCTCCCCGCCCAGCCTGGCCCGGCCCCGCCCCTGGAAGACCCACTATTTGCCGTGCTGGTGCCAAGGGCCTGGACTCGCAGGCACCCACCTCTGGCTCAGGCCCAGCCCAGGGGAAAGGGTTTGGGGCCAGGCTGCTGCCCAGGGCTGCTTCCGTCCGGGCAGCAGAGAGCAGCGGGCACAGGCGATGCCTCCTGTCTCTCCACCCTTCTGCTGCCAGGCCTCGGGGCCTCCTCCCCCCCCTCCCTCCACCACCCAGGTGTGTGTGGATTCGTCTGGGGCCCCAGGAAGGGGGCACTGTCACTCAGAAGCACTCTGTTCCACTGTCCACCGTCACTGTCCAAGGCTGGTACTGCAGCCCCTCCCTGAGGGAGGCGGGTTCTCTAGAGTTCGGGCTCCCAAACCCTCAAATGCATGACTCGCTGGTTCTAGTTGTAAGGTTTCTGACCCTCTCAAAACTTGAGAACCTTTCAAGAGCAAAGCCCTGGGCCTTTGGTCTCCTGGGTCCTGGGGGAAACCACTCCAGCCACTGCAGGCCTGGACCTCTGGGTCTGAGGGGGGAGGGGGCAGGGGGCCACGGACCCAGATCCTGGAGCTGAGGGCCCACGCTCCTGGGACCCGAATGGAGAGGGGGTTCTGACTTCTCAGGTGGTCTCCAACCCACTGCTGTGGCGTCCCCAGCTCCTCTGCTTGGCTGTCCCCAAGTCTCTCATTATGAGCGACACCCCCCCCCCGCCCATACCCCCATGTCCTTCCGTCATAGGGTCGCCAGGATGGGATTCCTGGGGTGGGTAAAAATCTCTTTCCCCTTAAAGCTGCAGGAAGCCGCACCCCCCAGCCCTGCTCTCAGCCCAAGCATACCTGGGTACGCCCCCAGCAGGAGCACCAGAGCCAGCAGCTGCGGGGCCCTGTGCGTCCCTGCCCTGGCGTCCGGTGGTTCCATGTCCACGGCGGTGGCAGCAGCGACTGAGCCCCAGCTGCAGCGAGGAGGTCGCCGCGGGGCTGGGAGGAGGCCCCGCCCCAAGCACCGCCCCGCCCGCCCCGCCCGCCCCGCCCTCTCAGCCCCCCTGGTCACCCCAAACCTGGGCGCCGGGCCAGGACCTCCCACTGCCCGCGGAGGACCTCCCAGTTCTGCCCAGAGCCGCGCAGTCTCTGCCCCGAGCCCCAGGCCGTCGCTCCTGCTGACCAGCACCCGCGGCGAAATGGCTTGACGGACCAGTCCAGTCAGTGCGTCCTTATCTCGGACCTTACCAGGAAACCGCAATTCCTCTCCCCCTCTTGACCCGAGGCCTGGTGTATTTGACCCGACACAACCAGTGGCTGCACCGGCCTCCTTCAGCGCGCCCAGCAGCGCCCAGCCTGACCAGTGGCCCAGAACAGCTTCTCCCAGTATGCCCTGGGGGGGCCCTCTCCTGTGGCCAGGGCTCCGGGCTGCTTTCCTGTCTGACCACTGGCCTGGAACCCTTCAGTTTAATCTCATATTTAATGGTCTCCAAACTCAAGTTTTCCGGGGGGAGTCGGGGTCGGGGTCAGGGGGTTGGCGGTAGGGCAGGGGGTGGGGTGGGGTGCCCTCTCTTTGGTTCTCCCCTGTGGGGCCCTCTCTCTCTCTTCCCCCATCCAGGGAATCCCAGGAATGCCACCCCCTCCCCCCTCCCTCCCTCCCTCTTTCCTTCGCTCCCTCCCTACCTGGGGGGAGGGGAAGAGAGGCAGGCAGGCAGCAGGTGAGTGGGAGCCGGGAGAGGGCCAGGGCACCTGAAGAAGGGGGGGCTGGCGGAGCACGTGCCTGGATTGGGGGGAAGGGTCACAGGTCACACTGAGGATCACAGATCAGTGCCCAGGCTCCTCACAGACCAGGTCAGACTGGGGCAAACTCTCCAAACTGCTGGATGGCGGTGGAGGGGGGGGGGGCGGAGGTCAGGAGAGGTCACTGGTTACCAGGGAGAAATTAAGCCCTGGATGCTGGTCGGAATGGGGGGTAAGCTGGTCACGCTAGCATAGATTCCCCAGGCCTCTGATCACACTGGGGGTCACTGGTAAGACTGGGCTTGGCCCATCGGACACAGCGGGAAGGCTCAGGTTACAGGTCCATCTGGGCGTCAGACTGGGCAGCGCTCCCTTAGGCATCGGGGATACAGGAAGGCGATTGTTACATCAGGAGAGGCGACCTTCCTTCCTCTAGCATGGTTTCCCTGCCCGTCCCCCCACTGCTGGGTCAGGTGCCCCCTCGGGGCTCCCCCACCCCAGTTCTCCACACTCTGGGCCGCCATCTGAAGCCAGGGCCTGCCTCGCCCACTGAACCACGTGGGCCCAGGAGAGCAAGGCCCGGGCCTGTCTTCGACCCTCTTGTTTCCCCAACACAAGGCCAGAAAGACCACAGGCCCTCAGGTGAGGTCTGCAAGGGTCAAATTCCAGAGCACACAGGTCCCCGTGCAAAGCCCACCCAGACTGTCCACCCAGACAGCGTTACAGAACAGGTACACCGGGGCCAACTCCGGAGAATGTCTCTCAATGCCAGAGATTTGTGAAAAGGAAAGGCAGTGTTTATTTAATGCTATGCAGACCTAACGTAGTAACCTAACGTCTTCATTAAAATATCAAAGTTCTTCAGGATATCCACCTACGCACATAGCTCTCCCTTCACCCCCTGCCCTAATTCCAGAGTAATGTAACTCAGGAAAAAGAGCACACGTCCATTTTTCCAGGCTGCTGTGTCACCGTTCAGGCAAGATCTTCAATTAATCCAAAGCCATGTGGCACCTTCTCATGGTCCACTGGCAAGAGTTCTTTGTACCCATTTTCCAGGCCAAGTCTCTCCTGCTTCCCAGGCCACGCGGCCAAAGGGGGCACCCCAAAGCCGCGTGAGCCTCTTCTACCGAAGTTGCAGGGGTCTGCACTCCGACAAAAGCATGTGGCTTTCTTTTTCACCTGCCTGCAGGGGTCCCCACTCTGGCAAAGGCACGTGGTTCTCCTTCCCCTGCCGAGAGGGGGTCCTCACTCTGCCCAAAACTGTGTGGCTTCCCTCTTCAATGGCCGCCGTGTCTGGGTTTAAATCCCGGTGCCAATCTTCCTCTGTATCCCTATTTCTGACTCCTCCCACAATCAGCTACACCTGCCAGTACTTCTATGTTTTTTGCAAGTTTACTGGCTGCCATCATGAGTCTGGGCAGGTGTGGCCCCATGTCCTGGAGCCAATCTTCTCCAAGTTCCCACACAGGCACTGTAACTCAGGGGACCTGCCCCCCAGTTACATCTTGGGGGCAAGTGACTTCCACTCCCCTGGCTCCAAGCCTGGCCACAGCTATTTAACATATCCAAGTGACCCGTCAAAGACTATCGATATGTTAAATGGCCATGCCATGGATTAGCTGCAAGGCCGTGGCTATACAAAACAGCCTTGCATGTTCCTGCTCCATGTGTCCCTTCCCCCAACTCACACCTGTGGGTGGAGGGGAAGGGGTGAGGACATCTTACATGTCTCTCTGATAATTCCTATACACTGTGAGTTCTGGACACCATTCCAAATCCCTTTTTGGCCCCCCCTCTTGGCTGCACCCTGTATCAACAGGAGGACACGCGAGGCCAACTCCCTCTCGGACAAGACGGTCACAGTTGCAAACCAGCTCACGTATTGCGACCCCAGACCCCCGCTCCCCTGCTCTTGCGCCCCAACTGGGGCACCTGCTGCTCGGGCTGGGCCCTGGTAGGCACCTCTCACCAGCCACCCGCCTTCCACTTTCCTCAAGATCCCACCCAACGCAGGCTCTGGGCTAGGAGACCTGACTGACGTGGGGTCTGAAGGAGCGAAGTCATACACACCAGCCCAACCCCTCGTGGAAACAAAGTTTTAGAAACTAGTACTGTGACACCATCTGTCCTCGTCCCCTGCAATATGTTCCCACAAAAACAGCCAGAGAGACTCCATTAAAATACGCATCAACTCCTTGATTCTTCCACGCAGACTCCTGACCTCTCTCCCTTCCCCGGATGAGTGCAAAGGTCTACCTACTCCCTGGCTCTCGGGTCCTCAAACCGGTCCTTGTTGCCTCCCCGAGTCCCTCTTTCTCTCCCTTGCCGCTTGCTGGCTCCGTGTTGGCCACAGTGCTCTCCGGGCTTCCGTGCCCCTGTGCCCCCCCTCCCCCCGGGCATGTTCCAGCCTCAGGACCTCTGTGCAGACTTTTCTCTCCACTGGGACATCCTTCCCACGTGTACTTGCTTCAAATCTCTATCCAGCATCACCTGGTCAAACAGCCATTCCCGCTTTCCCAGCCACTCCTTCCTTCCCTTATCTGCCTGCATTTTTCTCTCCCCGCTCTTTCTCTGGCACACGTTTGTCTGACCCGCACAGGACGCAGGCTCTGAGTGGTTTTGTTCACTGCTGTTCCTCCTGTGCCCAGGCCAGCGCTCCGCCCGAGGAGCTGAGCAAAAAATTTAGTGAATGAATTTTCCAGTCCATGCTTGCCACCTCATGGGCACGTAATTCCACATTTTAATTAACAAGCCTTATCTTTTCTCCGCCTTTATCTACTGTTTTATAGGCAGCGCGTGGCGGTTATCTTTAAAAACTAGTTCACAGCTCGTGGGCTACTGGATGGTGACGCATTTGGAGGCTGATGGTCCTTCCCGAGTGATTCCAGGTGGCATCTGGAAAATGGAACCACTGAGAATTTGTGTAGTCGTGGGATTGGGGGGGGGCGCATGAATGCATGTTTGGTTGGAAAAGAGTGAGTTGTGCAGGGAGTGTAGATAAGAACTTTCGGGGGAATGGAACGGAATGGAAGTTTAAAACAAAGGGAGAGCATCGAGTTGAACGTGCCAAGGGGTGGAGTGCGGGGGGGACTTTGGGGAGGGCTCGCTCGCCTCCGCACCCCCTTTCCCACAGTTAGAAAACTCCCTGTTGCTTGGAAGCTTGTTCCCCTCATTGAAGCCGCCAGGCCACAGGTTTGGAATCAGGAGCCAATAGCATTAAAGGAGCAGGGCCTCGCAGACCGATTCCCTCCCAGGCGGCTGGGACACATCCCGTCTTCCAGAGATGGCTGCCACAACATCTTTCATCCCACCTGCTCTTTGAACATCTGATCTTGATACTCCTTCCACCAAGAAGTGGGGTCTCGGGTAGCTTCTCTGCTGTTCGGCTCGCCCCAAGCATTGGGTGAGGTAGAGAACCGGTGTCCGGCTTTTTGAAACCCGCCTCCGGAGCAGGCGGTGCAAGCCGAAGGTCGGCAGGCTGAGCTATTTGCGGTGGTGCCCGCAGCTGGGCCCGGGCTGGAAGTCCAGGAACCAGGCCGTAGGGTCTGTGAGACAAGCGAGCTCACGTAGGGCACCGTGCGCGCCCGCCGCCAGCAGCCCCCGGGACCGGTGTTGTCACGTCCTGTACCAGGACATGTCAGTGGGCTTCATTTTGCCTTTTGTCCGGGCTGGCCCAGGCCCGCTGTTCCGTGAGGCGGCTTTTCCGTCCAAATGCCGTAGTGCGCGGCTGCCCTTGGGGATGCGTGCGCGCTGCCTGGCGCTGGAAGCCTTGAATCCGGTTCCTTGGGGCAGCCCTGACGTCCCTCGCTCAGCTGGACCCCTACTGCCCAGAACAGGCCGACCAGGACCTGCCGATCCAGGCCTTCTCCCCTCACAGGGAAGAAGAGTTTTTCCAGGACCAGCGCTCCTGCACTGGAAGAGATTTTAAAACATGTGGTACCTCACTGTTTGGTCAGGGGCCCTGACTTCATTTCCTTTAGACTGTCAGATAAAAAGATGACAACAGCCAACACACACGAAGTGGGGTCTGTGGCGTCCCCTCCTCTTCAATCTGAGCGATTCTGTGACTCACACGTAACCAACAGAATGTGCCAGAAACGACACCACAGGACTCCCAAGATAAGGTAGAAAAGCTGTGCAGCTTCTGCCTGGGTCACTGGAGTGGCGTCCGCGACACCTTCAGCCACCGCACAAGCGGTCTGTCACCTTACAGAGCATGCAGCGTGAGCGCCCACGGAGAGGTCTGAGACCGCAGAGGGACGCCCGTCCAGCCCCCAGCTGCCCGGCCCCAAGCGCCACTTGACTGCACCTTCTGCCAGATCCACCCAAACGGGCTCCCCCACCCCCAAATCCTGGCCCACGGCTGCCCTGAGAGACAGTTACGATGGCCGCTGTGCGCAGATGAATCTGGGCCTGATTTGCTCCGGGACACGGCTACCAGGCACCGCCTGCTCCTGGGGCACCAGAGGCAAGGTGACCAGTGTCCAGTGGTCGTCGCTGCAGGTCCTCATCAGACCGGTTCATGGCTGGAGGCCGGCTGCCAGGGTCGCTGCTCACTTTCCAGTCCTGCTTCTCTAATCACGCCCCGGATTCGGTGAGTGATCCCGAGTCCTCTCGGGCAATTTCCTTTCTGCCCCAGAGGCAGCTCCTGTTGCTTGAAACTAAACCTGTGATGCACGCTTCCAGCTCCACTTGCCCCGTGGAATACGTTTTCCTCGTCTTTTCAGTCTCGGCTTAGATGTCTCCTCCTCCTGGAAGCCCGCCCTGACCTCCCAGGCTGGGTCAGCTGCCTGCTCTGGGCTCCCCTGCCCCACCCCACTGGACCGTGAGCCCCGTGCTCAGGATGGTCCAGCCCGGGGCCGGGCACAGGGTAGGGGCTCAGGGAACGTGGATCCTTTTAAACTCAAGGGAAGGGAGGGAGTCTTCCCTCAGTGATGAGGTGTCGGACACTTTCTCAGCTTGATTTGGACCGGAGGCCACTTTTACTCTTGGAAAAGGATTCCAGGGAAGAATAAAGAGTGAGAGAGAAGAGAGCAGATGTGGCAAGACTGTGGACACAACCCTCAAGGAAGTGTGGGGTCTTTTTGACTGGGGGGACTTAGAACTTGGATGTCTGGGCGCAGGAATTTTTTTTTTCTATAATGGGGTAAGAAGGTTGGCTGTCCGATTCTCTGAGAACTTGGGACTCTGGACTCCGGGGTCTGAGGAGGAGAGGCTGGGGGCCTGGACTCCTGGATCCAGGGGGGCTGGGTCCCCCCATTCCTGTCCCTCTGGTTTCAGAATCCCCGGTGAATCGAGGTGGGGCTCAGGGCTCAGGGCCCCCAAGTTCCTGGTGCCAAGCTGCCCCCTAGTGGTCGCTGCATTCTTTCTCCACACCCAGAAGGCCCGGCAGTTTATTTCTGCTTCACAAACTCCTTCCAGCCCCTGGGGCTCCCTCAGCAGCGCAACGTGGTGCCCTGTGAGGTGGAAAGAGAGGTGGTTTAAACAATACCACATCCAGGTGGGGTGGGGTGGGCAGGACCAAGGGACAGAACCCAGGCAGAGCGGGGGACTCGCCTCGCCTCCAGGCCGGCAGTGATCGTGGACCCCACCCCTGGGCAGCTGGGGGGGTGCCTTTCCCTTTAGGAGTTTCTGCAGTGGGCAGAGTTTGGAGGGGAGGAGCTGTCCATTTCCTAGGACCAGTGTCCCCTTCTGCCCCCACGCCCTGTTCCCTCAGACCCAGGGGTCCCAGACCCCAGCTGCCCTCTCTACTCACTCTGTGGCTCCCTCCCTGGCCTGCGGGCTGGAGGTGGCTTCCCATGGGACCAAGGACACAGTCCTAATTTTTGGCAGAAGAAGAGGGGCCCGGAGTTTGGGCACGGTTGGAGGCGCCTGGAGGAGAGGAGATGAAGAAATTTCACAGCTGAGCTGCAGCTGTGCCTCATTCCCCAACCAGGGCAGGGGCGATGCAGCGGTGGCGGGCAGTGTGCCAGGGCCTGGCTCCCAGCATGAGCTGTTTCCTCCCCAGCACCTCGGCTCGAGTAGGAAGGAGTTTTAGTTTGTCCATCCACCTTCCAACCCACCCACCCACCCATCCATCCATCCACCCAACCATCCATCCATCCATCCATCCATCCATCCATCCACACACCCATCCACACATCCATCCATCCATCCACCTATCCATCCATCCACCCACCCATCCATTCATTCAGCCAACAATCCATCCATCCATCCATCTATCCACCCATTCATCCACCCATTCATCCAACCATCCATCCATCCAACCATCCACCCAACTATCCATCCACCATCCATCCATCTAGCCATCCATCTACACATCCATCCACCCATCCATCCATCCATCCATCCAACCCTTCATCCACCCATCCATCCATCCACACACCCATCCACACATCCATCCATCCAGCCACCTATCCATCCATCCACCCATCCATCCATCTAGCCATCCATCCACACATCCATCCACCCATCCATCCAACCATCCATCCATCCACCCATCCATCCATCCATCCATCCATCCATCCATCCACCCATCCATTCATCCAACCAACCATCCAACCAACCATCCAACCATCCATCCATCCATCCATCCATCCATCCATCCATCCACCCATCCATCCATCCATCCATCCAACCAACCATCCATCCATCCACCCATCCATCCATCCATCCATCCATCCAACCATCCATCCATCCATCCACCCATCCATCCATCCAACCAACCATCCAACCATCCATCCATCCATCCATCCATCCATCCATCCATCCATCCATCCATCCATCCATCCATCCAACCAACCATCCAACCAACCATCCATCCATCCAACCATCCATCCAACCAACCATCCATCCATCCATGCCTCCACCTCATTCATTCATCTCCAAAATATTTTCTAAGCATCAACAGTGTATCAGGCACTGTTCTGGGCTCTGAAAAGGTAACCGTGCCCCTGGCTGGTGTGGTTCAGTGGACTGAGTGCAAGCCTTCAAACCAAAAGGTCACAGGTTTGATTCCCAGTCAGGGCACATGCCTGGGCTGTGGGCCAGGTTGGGCCCCCAGTAGGGGGCACATGAGAGGCAACTACACTGATGTTTCTCTCCCTCTCTTTCTCCTTTCCTCCCCTGCTCTCTGAAAATAAATAAAAATAAAATTTTAGCCATGAACCAGACAGACTGTCTCCTCACGGAGCTGACGGTCTACCTAGTAATCAAGTGCGTGGACACAGAAATATCGCCAAGAGTTAGGAGTCCTTCGGGGAGCTGAAACAGGCGGGGGAGAGTATGAGGGGAGAGTGGACATGAGGGTGTCTGGGGGAGACCTCACGAAGGAGGGGCCAGTGAGCAGGAGCCCGAGTGCCAGAAGGGCGCTGGGTGGTGGGCTTGCAGGCCTGTTAGAACAGCGAGGGGTGGGTTGTTGTTGGGAAGGAATTGGGGGGGGGTGTAGAAGGTCACTGGGGAGATGGGGAGTGTCAGAGCCTCAGGCCTCAAGGGCGGGGCAGTGGAGACAATGTTGGCTTTAATTCCTGGAGCCCTGGGGAGCTTCTGAGAGTTTGGGTGGGGGTGGGGCATCGGACTCAGGTTTCTGAGGCCCAGTCTTGCTGACATCATTAAAACTCCTGGTGCCCAGGCTGGCTTGTCCCCATTTTGCACATGCAGACACTAAGGATGGGAGAGGAACCCAGGGGTCAGCCAGGTGCCAGGGCTCTGCGGGATGTTGGTGGCGCCCCCTAGAGGTGGGTTTCTCCGGTGGAGAACAGCTCTGCTCTGGAGCGAGGTATGCAGAGGAAGACCACAGAGACACAGGCCATTAACCCCGCCCCAGGTGCCCGCAGCAGCCCCGCACGGTGGGAACGGGCATCACACCCATTTCCCAGACAAAGCAATCGAGGCCCACAGAAGGAGCGGAGGGAGGATGGGCTCTGGAATCTGGAGCCAGGGACCCCGCTTTCAGCCCTATCAGCTGATCACCACGGAGCCCCAGTGTCCCCCTCTGTGTAAGAGGGGTCACAACAGTACCCACCTCACTGGGTCGTCACGACAATGACATCAATGCATGAGAAAGCAGTGGCAGGCCCAGCCCAGGGCGCACAGTCTAGAATATTGTTACAACTTTGCACGGGGACAGGTTACTAGACCTCCTGTGGGCACCGAGTTGTAAGCTACGTATGAGTCCAATCACTCTGTTGGACAGAGGAAACGAATACAATACTGTATTCCACGCTTTTTAACGTTTGTTAAAAAAAAAAAAAACAAAACTTAACAAAGCCGTGCCAGCCATCCTCCAGGGACAGGGACGCACACATTAGCTGTTCTCATTAAGACCGTCACCTTGCTGGGAAATCACCAGGCTGCCTGACCTCAGTGCTCTGGAGGATGAGGCGCAGGAGGCGCCTGGACTTCGAATCAGGCAGGGTGTGGGGCGGCGAGCAGGGGGCACGCCAGGCGGGGGCACAGCCTCCGCAGCGGGGCGGCCCGCGGTGCCTGCCCCTCGGCCTCCGGTTCTGGCTGTGTACCCCTCCTTGTCCTCAGGGAGCCGGCTGAGTGCCTCCTAATGTTTCCATTTGCTTTTGGCTGCAGGTTGGGATCTGTTTTTAGCTTCCCTGGCTGGTGTCAGCGTGCCCTCCCCTCCCCCCTCTTCCTGCCGGCTCTCTTGTTTGCTGTGTGCGAATAATGTTCCCAGACTTCCTGAGTTGTTTGTTTGGAGGCAGCCCGTATTGATTGAGACTCTCAGGGACTCAGTCTGCCATGTTACCAGAGACTGGGCCCTCCCCAGCGTGCTAGGGTCTCAGAAAATCCTGGGGTGGGAGGTGAGGGATGCGAGGGGGGAAGAAGGCAAGGCTGGGGCTCCCCTAAAAAATCGGCCGATGATTTTTAAGGCCCCTAACCCTGGCGTGTCCTCTTCTAGGCCGTGTGGGGCAGGGCAGCCACAGTCACCTGTCTGGGCTTCTTGCCTCTGAAAAATGAGGAGGAACATTCTAGACTTCGCAGGGCTGTTGAGAAGACGCCACTCGACTTATTCATTCAACATCTATTCATTGAGCACTTACTACGTGTTATGTAGTAGGTGCTCTTCTTCTTCTAGATTTTAGTGATAAGTCCTAACTTCAGGAGAGTGACAAGTGGCTGATGGTTTCAGAAGAAAACAGGGACCATGCTCTGCCAGCTGGTGAAAAGAGCTATGAAAATGCAGCGGGCAGGGGCTTGGAAGGACTGGGGAGCTGTTTTCAATAAGGGGGTCTTGGAAGATCTCCGTGAGGGAGGCTCTGAGAAAGTGAGCCTGGGTAAAGGAGGTCCAGGCAGAGGGAACAACTTGTGCAAAGGCCCTGGGGCAGGACATGTCTGGGATGCTGGAAGGAGGGCCAGCAAGCCAGTGATGGGGGGTGAGTAAGGAAGAGCACAAGAGAAGAGGACTTACAGGTGTGGGTGCCAGATGACACAGCACCCTGTCTGTGGGTGCAGAGAACCAGTGGCTGGCCCGGCACCCCTGAGCACCCAGCTGGACCAGGGGCCCCGCTGTTGAACGAGACCCGAGCTGCCCACCTCAGACCAGCACCAGACTCACCACCGTCAGCTGGCCTTTACTTCTGGGAGGACCAGGGGGCAGGTCTAGGTGAGGGGGCAATGGGGGCGCTGAGGGGGTCACCTAAGGGAGACAGAGGGTGGGGAGAGAGCTGTAAGCTGCCACGTTCTTCTTACCTGTGCGTCTCCCTGCCTGGCGTCCCGGCGTCCCCGGGTCCATGCACTGTTCCAGCCATTGGAGAGCGAAGGAGGGTGAGACAGAGTCCTAACCCTCAGTGGGGTTCACACCAGAGACAGCCTTGCCCCAGCCCCTCAGGGAAGCCAAAGTCCAGGCCCCGGGAGCCCCCGAATCCTGTCACCAGCCCGCTCCTCCCTCAGACCCAGGAGCACAGGCCCCACCCCTCCTCCCTCACACCCAGGGATTTCAGGTCTAGCTCCCGGCTGGCCCTGCCTACCTGCCCCATCTCCTCCTCTTCATCTGCCCAGTCATTGATCTTCCCTGGGTCCTCAGCAGCGGCTCTGGCTTCCGCTGGCCTCCCTGGGAACTGATGGATGCTCACGACCTCTTGGCCCTGGATCTCGCTGCGGCAGAAGGGGCAGGTCTGGCTGTCTGAGCGCTGGGGGCAGAGAGGGAAGCGTCAGGGGTCTCCCGGTTCATTTCAACACCCCCTGGGACCCTGCGGGCCTTGCTCTGCAGCAGAGTGATGTTGGGGGGGGCCGGGGGGGGGCAGACAGAGGGAGGCCAACGGAGAGGAAGAGAGGAGAGAGGGAGGGGGGGGGATGAGGAGAGAGCTGCAGGACTAGAAGCGGGAACGGGACCAGAGCCTGAGGCCAGGGACACGCACAAATGGGGACCTCGATGGCGCCAGGGTGTGGACCCCAGCCGGTGACAGTGCCGCTGCGGGGCAAGGAAGCCCGAGGTGCTCTCCTCGGCAGCCTCCCCACACCCCCCCCCAGCACCTGGGCCGGCACTGCAGCTGCACTGGCCCTGGTGGTTCTTATTACGGTTGCGGGATGCGGGTCAGCAGAAACCAACGGGAAGAACAAGGTTTATGACTCAGGTCCGGGAGGGGGCCTGGCAGGCCGGGGGGCCCCACAGGGACACTGGGAGGTCGCAGGCAGAGGGGGGGGGCGGTGGTTACATGGACCTCGGGGCTCTGCCTTTTTTTAAAAAAAAAAAGATTTAGTTATTTATTCATTTTTTCTTTTTATTCTTTTCTCCTTACTCAAGGACATGCTTATTGATTTGAGAGAGGGGAGGGGTGAGAGGGGGCAGAGAGAGAGAGAGACAGACAGGCAGGCACTGATAGGGAGTCTCTCCACCGGGTGACTCGCCAACCCACTGAGTCCCCCTGGCCGGTGGCGACCCTGCCTTCAGTAGGGGCAGAATGGGTAGCTCAGGGTTTCCCGGGTTCCCTTTTATTGGCGAATTTACAGCACAGGAGTGGGAATGAGGATGTAGAAAGGGAAACACATGGGTCGGCTAAGAAGATTACCCAGGGCTTTCTCAAGGGGAACTTCCTGGGTGGGGGCAGGCAGGTTCCTTATCTGCTCAGCTGGCCAGTAGCTGCGTCAAACATCTGGTTATTTGCTTATTGGTCATGGGTGTCTTTGAAATGTGTGACTCAGCAACCGAAAGCTGAATGCCGGGCGCGTACATTCCCATCAAAAAGCTTTACTCCCGCACCTACACTGCAGCGGCCACAGCCCCCTACCCCCGAGGGGCCAGGCTGGAGGGCTTCAGGATCCGTACCCTCCCTGTGGCTCCGTTCTCCAGAGACCGAGGTTAAGGCTCAGAGAAGCGAAGCCACCGGCCCCAGATGGCCCAGTCGGGAAAGGAAGGAGCTCTACCCACGAATCCTGTAGGTGGGGAAGGAGAAGCAGAGGTGACGGACGCACAGACACGGACACACAGACAGGGACAGGCAGGCTCCTGGCCCTCACTCCTGAGCCACCCTGATCCACGCGGCAAAGGGGAGGTCCTTCAGGGGCTTTTCCCTGTGGGTGGAGTGACAGGGGAGACCCACCTGCCAGGTGTCCAGGCAGCGGCTGCACAGCAGGTGCCCGCACGGCTTGATCTTCACGTCCTTGTTGCCCTCGGCGCAGATCTTACAGAGCTCAAACGTGGAGTCCATGTCCCAGTACAGCTGCAGCTGCTCCTGGGGGGCGAGGGGCGGGGCAGGCGGCAAGGGTGGCGGCATCAGCCCCAGGGATACAGGTGGGGCTGCAGGGAGACAGTCCCTAACCTCAGTGCCAGCCCCTGACCCTCCCCCAAACTCCAGGCCCTGTGTCCGCTGCCTCTTGCATGTACCCCGTGGTTACGAGAGACATACTCTCCAGGGTGGGCTTCTAGTAGGGTGGCTGGATTTAGCAACAGAAAATGCAGGACACCCTGTTACATTGGCTTTTCACATATACGCAGAGTAAAGTTGCAGTGTGTTCCAAACACTGCGTGATATACCTGCACTTAAAAGAAAATGATTCGTCGTTTCTCTTCCACCCTCGGGGTGATTGGGAGGGGAGACTAAGGCGCAGGGGCTGTGAGTGCTCAGGCGCATTAGCTGTTCTGATGATCTCAGAAGTGTCATTTCCTGCTTCAATCCCCAGGAAAAGCCCTGGGGAGGCAGCAGGAGGAGCTGTGCTTCCCACAGAAGGAACAGAGAGGCCGGGCGTGATGTACCTTAGGTCACGTGGCCATCACACCCGCACAGAACCCCAAGGCCTCTGGGATTGCAGGGCCTGGCTCCGTGGGAGAGATTCCTGAGCCCAGGGTGGAGGGGGAGGTCAGCAATGCTGGGCAGGGGGAGAGGGGGCCACCGGCCTGGGCTTCACCTCTGACACTTGGATGCGCTGATGGGGTTCCGGGTGGAAGAGTTCAGTCAGGTCCGGGTTGTGGTTCTTCCCATCTGGGTAGAGGTAGCTGGGGGAGGGAAGAGGTGGCTGGCGAGGGCCCCTCCAGCCCGCTCCGGGCATCACAAAGACCCCTGCCCCCACCCTTGCTCCTCCTCCCCGGGGAGCAGGAGCCCCGAATCTCCTGCTGGTCTGGGGTATTTGTCTCCCGTTCTCCTTACATCTGCCTCTGCAGGGCGTGGCCGTGTAGCTTCACGCCCCCATGATGGGCAGTCATAGCTTCAGTGACTGAAGCTCTAGGGACGGGGATGGGGACATGGATCAAAACCCAGGCCATCCAGGCCTCATCCTCCCAGATGTCACCTGGCCTAGAGTCCTCAGGCCTGAGCACAGCAGCATCTCAGAGTCACAGATTCCCAAGTGACCAATCCCTAGAGTATCAGACCAGCAGGGTTCCAAGGACCCCCTCCTAGGTACCTAAGCCACTTCTTGTTTCCTAGCTGGGGAAATGTGAGGCTCATGTGAGGCTGAGTGAGGCAGCCCCGGGCCACCTGTCCCAGCCCTCACGCTGTAAACCAGGGTCCTTTCTGCTCATTAGGGTCACGTTTCTCACATTTCTGTGCTTTTTTGTGTGTGACATCACTGTCTGAAATGCCTGCAGGCACAGTTTATAGTTGTCTGTTCGCTCAGTGTCAATGAATCAACACTATATATTACACAAGGTGTCTTCATTTTATTTTTTTTATCCTCACTTGGGGACATATTTTCATTGCTTTTTAGAGGGAGAGGAAGGGAAAGAGGGAAGCATCAATGTGAGAGAGAAGCATCGGTCAGTTGCCTCCTGCAGGCGCCCAGACGGGATGTCATGTGCCCGGATTGGGGATGGAGCCCGTGACCCAGGCATGTGCCCTGACTGGGAATGGAACCCACGACCTTTGTTTTAATGACCAGACACCGATCTAAGTGACTGAGCCATGCAGGGCTATGTAAGGTGTCTTTACACAGAAGCACACATACAGGTCGTTGTGTAGTGACTGGCTGACAAAAGGTGACCAGTCTCGCAGGAATGGCTCAGTATTCGACACCTCGGTGACTGCGCAGAACAGAACTACCCTGAATCAGGAGAACCGATTGCACACCTGCGCGTCTGCTAAGAAGGCTCTGATTTCAGGTCCAGGGTGGGCCTCGGGAACCTCACCTGCCTTTTTCTTCCTTCCCTCCTGCCCAAGGCAGCTGCCGAGACGGAGGCCCTGGGGCAGCCAAGTCACAGAAGGAAAACCACCGGTCCCGCTGTCTGCCCGCTCTCTTTCTGCTCTAACAGTTTGGATTTCAAAACGGGATAAGGTTGATACAGAAGCTAAAGCTCCGAGGGACATTTCAAGAAATGGGGCCACGTGGGTGCCGCGCTCAACTCCCCACACCCTTCTCTGTGGAGCTGCCGCTGCCGGCCTGGCTGGCAGCTTTGCCTCAAGACCCTCGTCTGCCACCTGCTGGAACATTGCAGTATTGCAAGTTCATGACGTCGGCGGTGCAAGGTGCAGCCGGACAACTCTCAACCCCCACCACCACGAGGAGGACTCACAAGCCTTCCTTTTGTCCTTCCAGGAGCGCCTGGAACAAGGGTTGGTTTTGAGGGATGGTCTGCACGATGCTGCCGTCTGAGGTCACGTATCCGATGGCCCACTGGCCCAGGCGGGTGCAGCTGGGTCGGAAGATGTAGCTACAGGAAGAGGCAGGGAGGATGGTGGGAGAGACTGGTCACCATTGACTCTTCTGGGACGGCCCAGCCCCGCACCCTGTTGGGGATCCAGATGCCCAAGTCCCCACCCCCTTATAACGCAGCTCCCCACTTTTTAGACAATGAGGGGTTATATTCCTCTCTGTCCGTCCTATGGGGGATCAGCTGCTTGGCTCCCCTTCTCCCCGCACTAGGGTTTAGACCAGGTTGATTCTGGACTGGCCAATCAGTGCCTTTCAGGACCCCTGAGCATAGTAATGGGAGTCAGCCCTGGGACTTTTTTGTTTTTCAATTAAAAAAAATTTTTTTTTTAATTTCAGAGAGAGGGGAGGGGAAGGAGAAAGATGGGGAAAGAAACATTGATGCAAGAGAAACATCACTCTGTTGCCTCTGGTATTCTCCCTGACTGGGGAGTGAACTTGCAACCCAGACAAGTGCCCTGGCTGGGAATCAAACGCACGACCTTTCGGTTTGTGGCATAAACGCCAAACCAACTAAGCCACACCAGCCAGGGCAGCCCTGGGACTTTTGCTGGAAGTTCCACCGAGGTAGCCGATTCCTACAGAGGTTGCTAAGCTGGCAGGCTATACAGCTGGGGATTCTAGAATCCATGAGGAGAGATCATATCTGCAAACAAAGCTAACAGACGAAAGCAGAGACGGGATAATCAGGATCTGATTCTTGACAATAACACGTTGAGCACCTGGATATAGCTCTGCCTGAAGCCTGCCAAGACACTTGGTCTTTTTACTTATGGAAATTAGTTCATCCCTTTTTTTTCTTTCCCTTTAACCCAGTGTGCAGTGTAATTGGAAAGGTGCTAATGCACTTGCTGTCCTGGGGGACCTGCTCCCTAGTTTTGCAAAGACTCATGAATCTGACCTCTTGGTGTTTCAGGGAGCTCAGCCCCTCAGTTCTTGTCAAAAAATTTTTAAAGATTTTATTTATTTATTTTTAGAGAAAGGGGAAGAAAGGGAGAAAGAGAGGGAGAGAAACATCAATGTGTGGTTGCCTTTCTCACACCCCCAACGAGGGACCTGGCCCACAACCCAGGCATGTGCCCTGATTGGGAATCAAACCAGTGACCTTTTGGTTCATAGGCTGGTACTCACCCTCTGGGGAGACCCAATGGCTCAAAGCTCCTGGCTGGAAATAATTTCAGGTGTCTGGTTCCCAGTCTCCTACCCCAGCAGGTGAGGGAACTCCTGTCTGTCAGCCGCTGACTCCGCCCCTCTTACGGGTCTGGTTGAATAGTTGTCGGACTTCCCTGCAGTTCAATTTTCTGTCTATTCTGGTTGTGTTTTTGTTTCTAAATCTTTGTTGTCCTTAATTTTGTTTGTGCGAGGAGGCACAGTATTGCCACCTACACTTCCATCTTGGCCGGAAGTCTGGGAATTGCTACTAAAAATATTTAATAGCTCTGGCTGGGTGGCTCAGTGGGTTGGAGCGTTGTCCCTGTACACCAAAAGGTTGAGGGTTCAATCCCGGGTCAGGGTACCTGTCTCGGTTTTGGGTGGGATCCCCGGTTGGGGCATGAACAAGAGGTAACTGATGGATGTTTCTCTCTCACATTGATGTTTCTCTCTCTCTAAAAATCAATAAGTATATCCTCAGGTGAGGATTAAAGAAACAAACAAACCATGGAGGAACAGCATGTTTATAAAAGTTTTTTTAGCTCTGGCTGGTGTGGCTCAGTGGATTGAGTGTGGGCCTGTGAACCAAAGGGTTGAAGGTTGGATTCCTAGTCAGGGCACATCCCTGGTTTATTGGCCAGGTTCCCAGTAGGGGGCGCACAAGAGGCAACCACACATTGATGTTTCTCTACCTCTCTTTCTCCTTCCCTTCCCCTCTCTCTAAAAATAAATAAATAAAATCTTAAACAAGATCTAGGAGGCCTCAGGAGAAGAGGTGGGGCACTCTGTGTCCTACCTCTGGGTTCTCCGTTCTCTGGGACCCCAGGCACCCCAGCCCTTCAGTTCTTGCTTTCTCTGAAGGACGTCTGGGTTTCCACCACCCCAAGTCCAGAGCTGAGAGCCTGGAACCCTTAGCAGCCTCCCCCTCCCGAGGCCTGCCCCGTACCTGCCTGGCTTGTCCCTGCAGGCCTGCAGACGTGCCTGGACCTCGTCGTACGTGAGGAAGGCCATGTAGCCCGGGTGGTTGACCGCCAGAAACTGCCAGTTCTTGAGGAGTGTTGGCCAGGGCTGGAGAGGGTGATGCCTGGGTCACGGATGGGCTGATGGAGCAGCGCCCCTTCCTGGTGCTTCCCAGGGTCCAAGAACCCAGCTCACACTGCGGTGGGCCTCAGGAATCTCTTTTACACAGAAGACTCCAGACCCTAATTCCCCAGGACCCAGGAGGCAGGCCCCCAGCCTCTCCTCCCACGGGACCCAAGTCTGAGCTCCCAGCCTTGACCTTCCCTGACCTGGAAGAGCCTGGTGAAGATGTCAAATTCGAAGATGGACACGTGACCACTGAAGGTGAGGTCGATGGTGGAGCGCAAGGCGAAGGTTGTGGGGCCTGATTCCATGGGGTGGCAGGTGCACAGGAGGGACTCAAACTCAGCCCAGGGCAGCACACACCTGGATGGACGGTGTGTGTGTAGGGGGTGCAGGTCAGGCCTCTGGGAGCCTAGGATGGAGGACCTCTATCTAGCAAGGAGGCCTCTGGGGACTGGGGCTTCTGGGTCTGAGGGAGGAGGGGGCTGAGGGGCTGGGAACCAGGACTCCTGGGTCCCTGGGCAGGGGCAGGATAAGGCTCCAGGGGCCCCAGGAGCAGGCACTCACTCACCGGGCTCCACAGTGCTCCCTCCAGAAGCTGTGGGCTGCGGTCGTGGTGACCCGATACGTGTGCCCACAATACTTTCCCTCAGGAAAGAGCGCGCTCAGCTCCGCACACATGTGGCTGAAGATAAGGGCCAGCTTGGCCAGCTGTCGCCTGTGAGGATGGACTCTGAGCACCTGGCTGGACGCTGGGGCTCCCACTGACACCCCCACCCTCCGTGGCGAACACCCACAGGCCCCAGGCTCCCTGATGCAGCGGTGCAGGGGAAGCCAATTTCCACACTGCCTGCTGCAGCCCCGACGCCTCCCGTGTCAGAGCCTCAGTTTCTTTGTCTGTGAAGGAAAGGAGGTGCAGCCCGGTATCCTGTCCTCCCGCACGCAGGCCCAGGCTCTGCCTGGAGCTCGCGGCGCCAGAGGAGAAGCCATGCCTAATCGGTCATGGGGACCGCCAGGGCCCTTACGCTTAGCTGTGTGCTTTTAGGCGGGTTCCTTTATGTTCCCCCAAGCCTCAGTTTCTCCAACTGTGAAGTGGGCATAAGTACAGCTCCTGTCTCACAGTGATGAGAGTGGTGAGGATTCTTACAGGCACATAAAATGCCTAGCACACCCAGCACACAGTCGCCGCTCAGTGCGTATTAATTATGAGTTCTTCTTTTTAAAAAAATTCATTCTTTAAAAAATCCTCATCCGAGGATGTCTATTGATTTTAGAGAGAGAGAAACATCGATGTGAAAGAGAAACATCAGGCGCCCTGGAATTGAATCCAAAATCCAGGCTTGTGCCTGGACTCCCGGGCCGAGGGAGGAGGGACTGGGGGCGTGGACTCCAGGTCCAAAGGAGGAGGGGCTGGGGGCGTGGACTCCGGGTCTAAAGTAGATGGGGCTGGGGGCGTGGACTCCCGGGTCCGAGGGAGGAGGGGCTGGGGGCGTGGACTCCGGGTCCAAAGGAGGAGGGGCTGGGGGCGTGGACCGCGGGTCCAAAGGAGGAGGGGCTGGGGGCGTGGACTCCCGAGTCCGAGGGAGGAGGGGCTGGGGGCGTGGACTCCGGGTCCAAAGGAGGAGGGGCTGGGGGCGTGGACCGCGGGTCCAAAGGAGGAGGGGCTAGGGGCGTGGCCTCCTGAGTCCGAGGGAGGAGGGGCTGGGGGCGTGGACTCAGGGTCCAAAGGAGGAGGGACTGGGGGCTTGAGCTCCTGGATCCGAGGGAGGAGGGGCTGGGGTCGTGGACCCCCGGGTCCGAGGGAGGAGTGGCTGGGGGCGTGGACTCCCGAGTCTGAGAGATAAGGATGGGAGCCCGACATGGTCCTTCCAGGTGACCCCACCTTTACTCCGGGGGCCAAGGGCTTTTACTCACCTGTGTATGGAGCCCTCCCGGAAGAGCTCGTCGTTGGTACTCTTTTGGCCTCGTGGTGGCAGGAGCGTCGCAACCTGCCTGCTCTTGGCCTCCAGGTTGGCGAGGTAGACGATGAGAAAGTCTCTGGCACCCCCGGGACCCTCGTGGCCGCCTCCACCGCCCGCCTGCCGGGCGTGGGCCACCTCTCGAAGTAACTTCGCGGTGCGGGGCAGCAAGTTCCTTAGCGAGGGGGGACTCGAGGCGAGCCGGAGGTCCCCGCATTGCTCCTGCAGGCGCTGCAGCAGCCTCACCGCCCGGCCAAGCGCGCGGGGCTCTCCACTCTGCCACCTGCGTGGGATCGCCGCCACAGCCATGGGCCCTCGGGTGCCTGACCAGGGATGGGTGCGGAGGTGAAAGGCGCGGCCCCGCTCCGGTAAGGTTGGGGCGGGGCTCGGTGCCAGAGGTGAGGGCGGGCCCTGGAGAAACGCGGAGGAGGCGGCAGGCGCTTGTGTCTCCAAAGGGGGCGGGGTCTGGGGCCCTGGCACCTGGGTTCCCTAGAGATAGGGTTCGAAAGTCTAGTCCCCAAAGGACAGCCGCGATAGGGAGTCTTCGGTGGGTGGAGATAGGAGGTGATTCCTGGGTGGGAGGGAATTGCAAGTAAGATGCCCGCGCGCCGTTGAAGAGGGGCCGAGGGCTGGTTGAATGGAGGAATGGCTGGAGGGAGACCTAGGACTTTCCCCCATCTGAGGGCGGGGGTAGGGCTGGTCCTCTGCGCACCCTGCAGGGAGGTGAGGCCTGGACGTGGCACTCCTGAGTCCAGGTGAAGGTTTGGATCTCTGGTCGTGGTATGGGATTAAAGGTCAGAGAGCTGAACTTTCTAGGAGGAGAGTTCAGGGAGATAGTGCGATCCCTTTGTGTAGGAGAAGGAAGAGAGAGCGCGACCAACCCCTGAGTCCCTTAGGAGCAGGGTTTGGGTGGAGGATGTCTGAGGGAGCAAGAATTGGGGGACTTAATTCCTGGGTCCCTGGGAACCGGCGGGAAATCAGGCTGGAGGGGCGTGGTTTTCTCAAGAACTTGCGCTCCTTGTAGCAGGTGCCCAGCACCTGCTGAGCGCCGGGCGGCCACCGGGGGCGCTGTGGGCCCGGCCGTCCCCCGCCCCTGGGCACCAGGCCACGCCCCTGGGCGCACAGATTGTGGTTGCAGATATATATACATATACACCTACCTAGAGACTTTCTAATGCGAGAATAATAGTTTAGGGTGAGAGCTGAGCCTCCCACCTCACCTCACTTCCCTCCTTAGCCCCCACCCCCATCTCTTAGAACCCGAGAGTCATTCACTTGTGGAATCTTCCACGTTGCAACTCAGACTAGGTGGAGCCCCGGTCTTTGTACCAAGACTTTGTACCAGGAGCCTCTTAGCACCTTGCGTGGCTGTCCTCTCTGAGTCAGCCTGTTTCCTCCTCCCGCAAACAGGATGAAAACCCACTGGCCTGGAGAAAATGCAAACTTTTGACTGTGTCAAGGACTGACGAAGAGCTGACGGAAGTGTAATGGAACAATTATACTGGAGAGCAATTCGGTGGGATTCATTAGACCTTTGGCCGGGGGAGGCCATGGCCCTCTGCACTCTTCAGAGCTGTGGCTTGCAAACGCTTTGCGCACATCAGGACGTGCGCCGTTGTACACCGGGCACAGCTTCCCAGGGTAATACTTATCCCATCTATGCATAGGCACTCTCGTGTCTTCTATTTGATTTAATTCCATCTATTAAAGGAAAAACTGTTTGCAACCCACTAAACTGATTTCAAAACCCACTAATGGATCTTGTTGGGCAGGTTGAAAAGGGTTGACCCCAAACATGCCAGGAGACACATTCCAGGATGTTAGTTGCAGCCTTGTGGGGCGTGGAGAAAACCGGAAACAAGGTAGGTGTCCAGCAGCAGGAGGAGGGATGAGTACGTGGCGGCACACCCCCACCACGGACTCCCACGCAGCGCTTGGAATGAATGGACTGGACACACGTATGTACAGAGTGAATCATAAACACACAGTGATGGTGTTTGTAGTGGTTAAGTAATACCCCACCCCATCCCTACCTGTGTCCTCTGAAACCCGAGACTGTAACCTTTTTTAGAAAAGAGTTTTTTGCAGGGGCGACCAAGTTCAGATGAGGTCATACTGAATGAGGGAGGGCCCTGAATCCAACATGCCTGTAAATGTGGACACAGGTACCCTCACAGATGCAGGTACACTCACAGGGAGAAAGCCATGTGACCATGAAGGCAGAGACTGGAGTGATGCATTTATCAGTCCAGAAATGCCAAGGGCTGCAGGCAAACTCTAGAAGGTAAAAGGAGGCTAAAAAGCATGAGTCCTGCCCTAGAGCCTTTAGAGGGAGCCTAGCTTTGCCCACACCTGATTTTGGGTTCCTAGTCTCCAGGGTTGTGAGAGCACAAATTTCTGTTGTTTAAGTCACTCAGTGTGTGGTCTTTTGTTTCCGCAACCCTAGGCAACTGATACAATGAATTTTTAAAAAGCAAGTGTAGCCCTGGCCGCGTGGCTCCGTTGGTTAGAGTGTTATCTTGTAATGGAAAGGTTGCAGGTTTGATTCCCAGTTAAGGCACATACCTAGGTTGCAGGTTCTATCCCTGGATTCGGGAGCGTTTGGGAAGCAACTAATTGATGCTTCTCTTGCATCGATGTTTCTTTATTCTTCTTTCCTATCTAAAAGCGATGGAAAAAAAAAAAAAGGTCCTCATGTGAGGATAAAAAAAAATCCTCAAGTGAGGATTAAAAAAAAAAGCAAGTGCAGAAGAATGAACACAGCACCGTCATTTATACCAAGTTTGAAAGCCTGCAACACCAATGCTCTGTATTATTAGGGGATATTTATATATGTGCTAGTTGTATGAAAATCTGTGTGGTAATGCTGAACATTAAATGCAGGATATGGAGAAGGAGAAAGATGGACTCTGAGAAGGATACACTGGGACTTCCACAACATCATTAACGCTTTAATTTAAGAAATCTAGATCAAATATGGCAAAATGGTTTAGTTTATATGGTTGCATAGTGGATACAAAAGAAGCGGGTGACCTGGCTGGTGTGGCTCAGTGCACTGAGTGCTGGTCGACGAAGCAAAGGGTCACAGGTTCGATTCCCAGTCAGGGCACATGCCTGGGTTGCCGGCCAGGTCCCCAGTAGGGGGTGTGCAAGAAGCAACCACACATTGATTTCTTCCTTTCTTTCTCCCTTCCTTCCCCTCTCTCTAAAAATAAATAAATAAAATCTTTTTAAAAAAGAGAGAAGTGGATGATAGGAAAAGATGCTCAGCATCATTATCGCTTAGGGAAATGCAAATCCAAACCACAGTGAGATCCCACTGCACACCCACTAGGGTGGCTACAGTAAAAATGACAGGCAATCCTGGGCACTGGAGACGCTGTGGAAAAGCTAAAACTCTAATACGCTGCTGGTGGGAACATAAAATGGTGCAGCTGCTTTGGAAAATAGCCTGGCAGTTGCTCAAAAGGTTAGACATAGAGCTATTATAGGACCCAGCCATTCCACACCTCTGTGTGTATGTCCTAGAGAAGAGAAATCATATATCCACAAAAAGATTTGTGAAAACACTTAAATGCTCATCACCTAATAAATGGACAAGCAGTATACCCATGCAATGGAATGTTACTCACCCATTAAAGGAATGAATACTGATAGCATTCTACAATGTGAATGAACCTCAAAACCATTATGCTAGCCCTGGCTGGTGTAGCTCAGTGGATTGAGCGTGAGCCTGCGAACCACATGATTGCGGTTCGATTCTCAGTCAGGGCACATGCCTGGGTTGCAGGCCAGTTCCCAGCAAGGGGACTCATGAGAGGCAACCATACATTGATATTTTTCTCCTTCTCTCTTTCCCTTCCTCTCTAAAGATAAGTAAATAAAGTATAAAAAAACCATTATGCTAAGTGAAAGAAGCCCATCACAAATGGCCACATGTTCTATGATTCAATTTCTTTACTTAATTTTTAAAAAATATTTTATTTATTTTTAGAGAGGGGAAGGGAAGGAGAAAGAGTGGGAGAGAAACATCAGTGTGTGGTTGCCTCTCATGTTGTCCCCTACTGGGGACCTGGCTTGCAACCCAGGCATGTGCTCTGACTGGGAATCGAACCAGTGACCCTTTGGTTCGCAGGCCCATGCTCAATCCACTGAGCTACACCAGCCAGGGCTAGGAATGGTTTAAAACCGAATTTGGTGATGATCAAACACAACTCTGTGATCTTACTCAAACTATTGAATTGTGCATTTTAAAGAGTTAAATTGCGGTGTATATGCATTGTCTCAATAAAGCGGTTTTTAAAAAAAGGTGGGGGAGATCCCAGGGTAGTCGCAAGAGGGCGCTCTAAGTACAGGCTTACCTCCTCCCTTGGGAACGGAGTTTCTCAGGCCTTGCCCCAGACTCTGGCCACACCTCCTAGAATCTGGCCACGCCCCACGGTTCTGGCCACACTGCAGGATAGGGCCTGTCCCTCATTCCAACCACGCCTCTGAGACTCTGGCCACACCTCCAAGTCCAGGGCCATACCCAGACCTTAACCACACCCTAAGGTCCCGGTCACACCCCACGCCAGAATCTGAAGCAGCAAATTCACCCTCCCAACTCCCCAAATTGACCACAGATGCAAGCAAAAAAAAAAACAAAAACAAAACAAAACCCCACAGAGCCTGAAAACCGTGACTTTTAATTTGCAAGCGTTTTTTTCTTGTTCGGAATCATTTTAAACTTCCAGAGAAGTTGCAAGAATAAGACAAAGCCTTGTGCGCACCCTTCACCGGGGTTCACTGATTGTTAACAATTTGCCAACATGCCTTATCATCGGCTCTTCCTATCTTCACTGCCACCCCGCCCCCAGCCGTTTGAGAGTAAGTTTCAGACATCGTGCCCCTTTGTCACTGAGCACTTTGGGGTGTGTTTCCAGGCTTATGCACATTCCCTTACGCAGTCCCAGTGCGGTTTTCAAAAGCAGGACAACAAAGGGTGCTACAACACCAGCATCTCATGCAGTTAAATCTGGCCAAATCGCCAGCCATTCCCAGATGATCCTTTTTAGCAAAAACATTTTTTTTCCGGTCCAGGAGCCACCGTGAGATTATGGGTGTGTGTGTGTGTGTGTGTGTGTGTGTGTGTGTGTGTGTGTGTGTGAAGTTCTTGTGTCTGGTTCAAGTGCTCGGCTTCCTTTGTGTTTGATGAGGCTGACATTTTTAAATGGCTTCCTTCGTAAGCCGTCCCCCTAGATTTGGGTTTGTCTGATACTTCCTTGTGTTTAGAGTCTAGTGGAATGTTGTGGAACTGATGGGGGGCCCTT